ATGGCGTTAGGCAGATCCTGTTTGTTTGCGAAAACCAGCAGCACGGCGTCCCTCAGTTCATCTTCCTGCAACTGCACATACGCACAGGAAAAGACACCGATGAGGCAACTCAACCACATTAAGCAAACAAAACACTTCCACAAATGTCCTGATTCATTGCACTTGGTTGCCATTTGAGAAGATCACAATGATATATGCTACCATTTTAGAAAGCTCCTCTGCAGATTCTGCCACTCTCTCTCTGTCATTGCTGTCCACCACAAAGATCAGACCCTGAGGACAAAGGGAAAAACAGAAAGAGCTATGAGTCTCTGTGTGCCCTTATATTATTTTGCATGAATACACATCAAGACCATACCTGTGTGTTCTGAAAATAGTGTCTCCAGAGAGGACGAATCTTGTCCTGGCCACCGACATCCCACACGGTGAAGCAGATGTTCTTGTATTCAACAGTCTCTACGTTAAAACCTGCCCAAAAAAAATGCAGTGACATACAATACATTCAGTGGAATAGTTCTGCTTTTTAATGAAACACTGGCTGAATGTTGTGGTGTAAGACAGGACACTCAGGCAATCACTGAAGCCACATGTATGGTGACAGCCAGTGGACGTTGACATATCATAAAAGGAGTTAAGTACTACAATTTCATAAAAATTCCCAGAGGGATGATACAATACTCATATGAATCAGAACACAACACAAGACAATGACCTTAATCTACTCATGAGATCTGCTTTGAGATCATAGTCAAATCAAAAACAGTCCTGTCCTCTTACCTATGGTTGGAATGGTGGTCACAATTTCTCCTAGTTTGAGTTTGTACAGTATTGTGGTTTTGCCGGCAGCATCCAGCCCCACTGTAAAACAGCAAGAACTCATGATGAGAATAAGGTTTCTAAATATATAAGAAAGAAACAGAAGTCACTTCTCCTAAAAACTCAATGAAGAGCTCATGTCTTAAATGGCCAAGGATATAAACTAGCCTGTATTATTCCAGTAAACAGACTTTACTAGAATATAAACCTAAATATGTACCTAAAAACCATATCACTCAATAGCATACTACTATATGTAATATAATAAACCATTTTAACTGTACTGTACTATATTAGTTAAAACACTACAGAGTAGAGCTGCACGATTAATCGTTAAAAGATCGAGATCGCAATTCAAACACCCACGCGATCTAATTGACCTATCGGTAAGCCCCTCCCCTCGAATGCAGATGAGCCAATGGCAGTCGAGTATGAGTTGCACGGGGAGCGGAACTCGGACATTTGTAGGTTTCAGCGCAATAGAGAAACATTGGAAGATCCGAAGCTCGCATCGGTTTAATGGTGTTTATGCTACAAAAATGGAAAAACGATGTGCCTAGGGTACTTATAACACTAAGTGATCTGTATTTTTACATATTTATTTTAATATCTTTTATATATGCTTCCATGGCATATTTAAGTCCCACTTGAAGGTCCATCTGTGTCCCAAATTTATCAGAAACACCTCGGAAGAAGGTTTTCACTGGCAGCTGTCATTGTAAGAGAGTGAGCAACTCCGTTTGTTTGTCCGAGTGAGCAACAGTAACTAAGGGAGGCGAGGCTTACCGACAGGTAAATTTCTAAATGACAACGATTCTCCCTATTAAACGTTTGAAAAAGTCTTACCGGAACATTCAAATCTGCTTTCGCGCTCTCGTTGACAGAGAGAGCAGTTACCATGTTTGGGTAAGAAACAGCTTCACAAACAGTCTTTTCAACCACAGTATTATTTCTGTCTTGCAATAATTTATATTATCACAGAAATACTGAGATAAAAGTTTTATAGTTCGGATATAAACACTGATGTCTATGGTAGCGATCAAAGACCATAGAATACCCAAGACGTGTCACTTGTATAGTTTTGAATGGGGAAAAATGCAATGCTCAATATGGCCGCTCTATCGAACGAAGCCCCGCCCGGAACTGCTTCCAGTGTACAACAGTGAGCGCAAGCTACATTAAAGTGATTATTATGTTTTGAATATGGATATTTTTCTTAGAAAAACGCATCGATTCGCTACAGAAGGCCTTTGTTCACCCCCCGGAGCCGTGTGAGACACTTTTTTTTTTATGGATGGGCGATTTTTATTAAGTGCTTTTGGACTGATGCATGCAACACGAGTGGCATGAAACAGCTTGAAAGATCAAAGACTATTTTTAATATAACTCTGACTGGATTTGTCTGAAAGAAGAAAGTCATATACACCTAGGATGACTTGAGGGTGAGTAATTCATGGGCTAATTTTCATTTTTGGGTGAACTAACCCTTTAAAAGTAAAAAAACTAAACGCTTCAAAAACGCTGATTAATCCAATAAAGAAACAATGAAGTATTTATGAGTAAATCATCGAATCATTAATTTAAACCAATTTTTCATCATTTTAATATAAAAAATTGGTTGATTAAATATATATTAATAATTCATTCAAATTAATTAAATATTTTTAAATAGACTGCAGCAATTCATATTTTGTCACAGCCTCTAGTAAATGACACATTATTTTGTTTAGTTCTGAAACGTGGGAGAATCGTGATCTCTATTTGAGACAAAAAATTGTGATTCTCAATTTATCCAGAATCGTGCAGCTCTACTACAGAGTATACTAGAACAGTACTATACTGTACTAATAAATACTATAATTCACAGTACACCATACTAAAATCGACAGTACACTAATATATAAACATAAATATTAGACATGCTCTTTAATTCAACTGAAAATATTGAAGATTATACAATTATGCATACAAAAATAAAAACGAAAAAAAAAACAAAAAACGAAAAACATAAATAAATAAAATAAATCAGAATAAGGTCAGGTATAAAAATAAAGTCAAAAAATAAAAATAATAAAAATACTTTGTAAAGCTGACAAGTAAAGCTTTATTCTAAGTTTAATTTATTTTAAGTCTTACTCAAATAGTCTCTAATACTATGCACAGTCTTACGCCAGTCAACAAAACCACACAGTTACGTTTTTATTAGTACACTTGCATTTATGAATGTGGAGTATGGTCAAATATAAGTAAATAATAGTGTAATTGCATTTAAGCAATTTCTATACTTTTTTAAATATTCAGTGAAGCCAAAAAGTACATTTTTCAAGTGAAAGAGGTCTTGGGCACTGAATATATTCATTGATACATTTCTGTATCACACAACACAATACGAGTACGATACTAAAAATAAACGCAAGGTGGTTTCATGAGTTATTACAGTAATTAGACAGTACAGTATACTTGAATATAAAATATACGTCACAAGAAAATAAATTAAACTAAACGGTCTGTGGGTAATCTCCTGCTAAATTCATTTATTCAAAGTTTGTGGGATCCTATCGCAAGATAACTCAGCAGGTAAATAAATGCGCACTTGACTTAGCTCTATCTCTACATGGTAAAGAAAAGCATACTTTGAATTAAAGCAGAGGAAGCAGTTATAGTTTTGTATTTTATCTGTAATATTCCGGAGAATGACAGAATTGCGAAAGTTGGCTAACGCCGCTAGCTTAGCTAGCATGAGTCTCAACACTCACCCATGAGAATTCTCATCTGTTTCTTTCCAAACAGCCTGCTAAAGATCGATGAGATGGTCAGACCCATGATAAAGGACACAAATCACCTAAAACTACGGGATTAATCCTAATGTCTAAAGTTGTTTCGCTGTGATGCTCGTCGGGCGTCAGGAAACCCTGTCGGCTCTGCGCTTGCGTAATGCCACGTCACGGCTGCGGCCGCCGTGGAAGAAATGACGAAACGCCACTTCCGATGAGTTTTTCCATAATTACAGATTTTAGAACAGATGAAAACAGCGCATAATAAAGCAAGCAGGTTCACATACTGTTAAAAGTGACTTAATAATTATGATGATGGTAATAATAATAACACAATTATTATTGATATTCTTTAGCAGTATGGGCTTGCAATATTACATGTTTTAGTTGTAATAAAAGCTTGTCATTATGAAAATCTGTCAGTCGAAGGTGAACGTGATCTATACAAACAACGGATTAAAGATATGATATAACTCTTGGGCTTCAGAGTTATAAATATTTTAAAAGTTGGCTTCTTGACAGCCATTATTCTTTTGCTATGATTTTGTAAAGTATATATCCTAGTGGTGCCAGAATAAATAAATGCTTTTAAATAAAGCATAACATTCATCTCTTGACTCTTGCAAGAAGCGTAATATCAGCAGTTTTGTGAAATGTACCATTGATCTAGAAAGGTTGAGCTAGAGGCCAGTGCCAAAATGTATGTTCTAATGTTTATTACAAATGGACAATGTCATTTATTTTGTAATTTTGTGAAATGCAAGTCTTCCCTACTGGATCAGCAGTTTTATATGATTGTTTATATAGTGAATATGGGAATAATGCAGTAGGGTATCACTGTTGGAATCCATAAGGCACTAGAACTGGATGGTAACTGGACTGTCAATGTCCTTCTCATATATTCGGTACACTAAGTGGGGCTTTTTTTTTTTTTTTTTTACAAAACACCAGGCAACAGCAGCTAATTTACCATTTACACATTAATGTACATGAACAGGTCAACCATATTATTCTGTCATAGTGAGGTAATCACTGTCATTACTCGTTACATTACAAAAGTACTGGGCTAAACCGAATTTTTTTCTTTTATTTGTATTACAAATTTTTGGGGGATTTTTCAGATGAAACGACAAAAAGCAGATGAAATTAATTTGTCATGTCTATGCTGTATTATTAAAGATAATAATTAATAGCATGGTGTATTATTTGGTTTAATAAACAATAAACATGCATCTTGGTGGTAGCTCTCATATACATGACACCCAATTACAATACAGATTAACCTAATGGTGTTTAAAGAAATAGTTCACCCAAAAATAAAAATGTCCTGAAAATGTCCTCCTCAGGCCTTCCAAGAGGTGTGTCACCAGAGTATATCAATGAAAAACAAACCTGCATATGACATATCTATTTAGTTTTTATCAGATCTTTATTTTCTCACAGGGGTGGACCTTGTGGCACAGTTCGAGCAAGAGTAGATCAGAAAATCCTGCTCAGGAAATGAGGACCTTATTGGTGTACTGGAGTGTCCCATACAAAATTCTCACTGAATGCACCTTAATCGCCGATATTAAAGGTGCCAGCATACATACATACATCCGTTTGACATGAACAGAGAAAAGAAATATGGAGCAGACTGAAGAAACAATTCATCCCGGTCCAACCCACCTCAGAAAAATCAGGCAAGGTACTATGATCTGTTCAAATGCTTTCAACTAAAACATTTACTTACTTATTGTTCAATGGAGGTATTTAACATCAAAGGCGGTTAGAGATCATTGGGCTAATCAATCATGGATGACTCCATATTGCTGTCAATACTTCATGTACCATTTTGTTCCAAAGAATCTGTTGGTGGCAAAGTCTCTGAAACAAGACTTAGGAGGCTTCTGCAACAAAAGTTAATGTGTAGCTTTGCAATACAACCCCCTGGAATAAAAATAACTGCCATGAAATGGAGTGTTCATGGAGTGGCGAATCCTGCGAGTCACTAGTCAAGTTAGGCAGCACTGCAACAGGGATCTTGGAGTGAGCGTCAATGCACAATGGCTTCTTCCTGGCATTTACTCGCTCTTAAGCTACAACTACCCCAAACTTGCACGAGAGGGACGCCTCGACCTGGAATTCCTCCCAAACTTCCTTTCTGTTGTGCCATAATGCTCTCACAGTTATCAAGTAAACGTGCAATTTAAGCATTATCTTAGTCATGAAAACAATCAGATTTGTACGAAAAAAAATTAAAAGAACATTAGTAGGAATACAGCATAGAAAAAGACAGATAAGATAGATTAGACATGATGCTGAACACTTGATAGCTCCTCCACACACACACACACACACACACACACACAAACTCACTCAAGTTCTTCAAGACAGAGTCTATCAACCCACACACTCCGTCTTTCTAAAGTTCACACGCATCTCGCCAATATAAGCAGGCACACTAGTGTTTGGAGAGCTCGTTTGATAACCAGTCCAGTCCTTCATAGAGTCCGGTGCCTTGTGTAGCGCAGGTCGCTTGAACATACCACTGTGGAAACAGACAACGGACAATCAGAAAGCAGCTGATGTTTAAGCAAGTGCATGTTAGAGTCAACTGAGTAAGTGTGTGTACCGTTCTACTGCGTAGACTCTGCAGCCCAAGTTTGTCTGTGAGTTCACTGACAGCCATGGCGTTTATGTGTGTGTGTGTTTGTATGAGAGAGAGAAAGAATTATTTGTGGATAATGTTCACTCAAAAACTGAGGTGCATATGCTCAGATCAATGGGGCCTATGATCAATTAATTTCAGAAAGCAATACAAAACCTGTGCTAATTGAAACAGCATTTGGTAATAATATTGCATAATGAGAAATAAGCAATTTTTGTAGGCATGTCACTTTTGAAACCCAACACAAAAAATCCCTATCCCCCCCTCTTTTTTGGGGGGATTTTGGAAAGTTGTTACACCATGTATGAGCAAAGTCAGTAAGCTAAGTAAGTAAGTAAGTAATGTTATTACATTAACTAGTATTTTCGGGATGCTAGTCAAAATGACTAGTTTCAAAATGACTGGAACACAAGAGGGTTAAAAGCTTGCAACTGTATAAATGGAAAAAGGTCAATAAATCAAGACATATATAAATAACAGGGCTCAACAAGAATGGTAGGGGAAAAGTGTGAGCTGTGGGCCACTGATTGCACATTAAACAAGTAGTATTTTTGTAATAAAAAAGTATTATGTGAATAAGAAAATTATGAATAATATAAATGCTAAAATATATAAAGTCATACATATATACATATATATATACCTGTGCTAATTGAAACAGCATTTGGTAATAATATTGCATAATGAGAAATAAGCAATTTTTGTAGGCATGTCACTTTTGAAACCCAACACAAAAAATCCCTATCCCCCCCTCTTTTTTGGGGGGATTTTGGAAAGTTGTTACACCATGTATGAGCAAAGTCAGTAAGCTAAGTAAGTAAGTAAGTAATGTTATTACATTAACTAGTATTTTCGGGATGCTAGTCAAAATGACTAGTTTCAAAATGACTGGAACACAAGAGGGTTAAAAGCACAAGCATAACACAAGTGTAACACAAGCGTCACAAACATATTACATGGACTTTTCTCAAGATGCTTTGGTAAGAAAATGTCCATCAAGAACATAAATGCAAATGTAAATACATTTTGTAACATGATCTCAATTCAGGTCACTGACAGGTTTTCGAGTGCAATACAGATTTTATGTAATATCCAAAGATTAAATTGAATGCTGAAAACGGAGCAATTCTTACCATTTTAGAAAGCTCTTCTGCAGATTCGGCCACTCTCTCTCTGTCATTGCTGTCCACAACAAAGATCAGACCCTGAGGACAAAGGAATAAAAAATAGCATGCTTCAGATAAATAACCACAAATGCACCCAAGTTATAAAAGATCACAGTACAACCCAACCAATGTATTACACTTTAGGTGATTTTAAACCAGGATGCTTAAACAGCACAGTTCCTGTAACTGATCTAATATAAGTTGCTTTGAATAAATGCATCCAGAAACCACTAAGTGGCACTTTGGCCAGCAAAACGTCTTTAAATAAAGACCATACCTGTGTGTTCTGAAAATAGTGTCTCCAGAGAGGACGAATCTTGTCCTGACCGCCGACATCCCACACGGTGAAGCAGATGTTCTTGTATTCAACAGTCTCTACGTTAAAACCTGTCCATGAGCAGAAAAAAATGCAGTTTTTAAAGAACACTTTACTCAAGGTGCATCAAAATATATTTGACTGGCAACAACGAGATTTGTGATACACAAATATATCAGCCAGTCCAATTCAATTAGGCTGTTAAGAGATTATCAGCTGATGACTGTGTCTAATTGACCCTTTGGTCCCTCGGTTACTGTAGTTCACTAAGAAACAATGTGAAAGTGCACCTGAAATACAGTTTTACCATACTGTCGATTATGATAATGTGGCAGACAGTGACAGTTGCTATGGTAGGATTGGTCAGGATTGGTTAATATCCATAATTTCATTTTTTTGTGTATGCTGTCAATAAATTATCAATGCTGAAAACGTTTTTTTGAAGGATTATGTAACACTGAAGACTGGAATAAACTGCACTTTAAAATATAAAGAAAATATATAGCAAAATAGAAAAGTTGCTTTAAATTTTAATATTTCACAATACTGTTTTTACTGTAATTCTGGCTAAATAAATGCAGCCTTGGAGGGCAGAAGAGACTTTTTTTTGTTTTAAATCATAAAAAAAAAACCAGTGTACATGTAAACTGTAAATAATAGTCACAAAAAAACATTATTTCAGTTGTAAATGCATTGGCAGTGACATAAAAGACATCAAAATGATGAGAATCCTAAATCAGATTCACATAAATCACATTAAGATTTAATTACGAGCTCCTTCTTTTTAAATGAACACTTTACATTGTGAAAGAGGGAGTAGAAAATGGAGAACAATCACAGTAATGATTGTGTAATCTCACCTATAGTAGGGATAGTGGTCACAATTTCTCCCAGCTTCAGCTTGTAAAGTATTGTGGTTTTACCTGCAGCGTCCAAACCCACTGAAAAAATAAAATATGTAAGAAAAGACATCTAGCTGTCAAATTCATTACAGCCGTGTGATTTATTTCTGATTTTATCTATTCATACAAGCTCTATCTGAAGCTAGCAAACTAACATTAGCCACTGCCCAAGAAATATCACATTCATTGTTGAGTTTCAATGCGTAAATTAATAATAAAAAGCCAATTTATAAATGATTTCATCTTACACACAAATATGATCCCTTTTGTCTGAAAAATGAATATTTACCACAGAAGTACATCAGAAAGACAGTGTAATGTGCTTGAAACACTCACCCATCAGTATTCTCATCTGTTTCTTGCCGAAAAGTCTCCCAAAGAGCGAGGAGATGGTCAGACCCATGATGACTTAAAAGAAAACCCTAAACCCTAACAATAACCGAAACAGTAAAGAAAATGTGAGAATGTATTTTAATGAATATTCTGTCTCTCTCTTTGTGCTAAGTGTCTCGCGGTCTTTTGACGCGTTGCCACGTAAGAAGAGGAGCCACCGTGGAAGACTTGGCGTCACTTCCTGCTGCGATCGCACTCCGGGCAGTGATGTCATAATTATTCATAACTTCCGATATTTTCTGAAACTCCCACTTGCTTTTTATTGTCTGATGACAGTTATTCTCCGTTCTGTAAAATGGAATCCCCGTATTCACGCCGAATCTGAATGTACTGGACAATCTTATTTGTTTGTTATTAAGCAAAAATCAACGTCTAAATTCATAACAGAAATCCATGTAACGTATTCGTTCGTTCATTAATTCACTAATATTGTTGTTGTTGTTATATCAAATGAAAAACACATATTTTACATTTGTATTTTTATTAATTAATTATTTATTTTTTTTTATTGTTGGTTTTCGTTTTACAACAATCAAGCTGATGTGATATTGTATGAGTTTTATGTGTTTTATTGTTTGTGACTGAATATTGTAATTTTGTAACAACATCCTGCCCGGGGACTGCAGATGCAAATTAGCTTTATAGCTAACTCTGGCACAACACTTGTGTTGTGCGTTTTCCCTGTTAAATAAATACAATAAAATAAAATAAACTATTGACAATTACATTTATTTTTGTTCTTAATTGAGGAGAGACCCCCCATATGATTGTAAAGCGCTTTGGGTGTACAACAATACACAATAAAGCGCTATATAAATGCATCATTCATTCATTCATTCAAATTATGATTTGTATAACGTTATGTCCCTTTCACCCACTACTTTTATATTATTTCGAAACTGACTGAACTTTGTAGCAAACTAGGCAATACCAAAATATATTTCGGTTTTATTTTCTCCCTCAGTTCAATAATAGCCTAATAATGTGTGCAGTATTTGCACTGGACAAAAATGAATTCTCTCAAACTGTTGCAAATTCGTTTTTGACCAGTAGAGGGCATTTTATACTAATTTTAGTGACCGTAGTGAGTTAAATTTGGGTCCGAGTATTTGCAAGACCTCAACAACACACACACACACAGGCTATATAGGCTATATAAACATTAAGTAGCCATTTAAAGGTGTTTATTTAAGAATGATGTATGTTAATCTGCTAATATTTATTATAAAGTGTTATTAAGGAGGTCGAGTTATATGTTGTATCTCCCACACAACACCTGAACAAGCTCTGTAAGGTAAAAGACACAGTTTTACCCGCAAATACACGGCTATGAAAGAAATGAGAGGAGCGCAGCTGCACCAGTGCAGGTGAGACGACAGACGTCACGTGACCAGAGGCTCAACGTCCAGGTGAGACGGCGGGAGTCAGTCAGTCAGACAGCTGCTGTTCAAGACAGAACACACAACAAACAACAACGAGCTGGCATGTAATTCACGGAATAAATCTCTTCATCATGAATTCAAGCGGTGGATTAGGCCTATCAGACGATGAAGATAAGGTAATCAATCACTTCACAATTAATTCTTCATCTGAAGTCAACGAGAATACAATTGAATGTGGGAAAACAGCATATCTCATTATTTGCCACTGCACTGCAGATAGAGATACTTTCATGACTGTCAAACTTCGACTTAATGGTCATTTATTATTAAAATACAACCTAGACTTAACATATCAATGTTCTTTATTTTCGTCTTGATTGCTTACACAGATTACTATTTTATCTTGGATCTACGTCTCGACTTTGAGTTTAAGGTGAGAAATACTTAACGTTTATTCGACTGCCATGTGATCCAGCATTGTTTTAGGATGAGCGCGTGCGATCTGTTGCTTTAATGCAACACACAAAGAGAAACCATTATTTGCAGCTGAAGTTATGCATTTGATTTGAGAGGCAGTAACTCACAGTGTGACTTATGAAAAGTGAAGTAAGGATTTTAGGAATTTACATGTGACATAATAGGAAAACACATGGGGCAACCCAGTCTGTCTCCTGCAGGGTCCGTCATGTTGAACTGTTAAAATGTTAGTAATTTGAAAAGAAATGTAAACATACTACAATATTACCGTTTGATGGGATCATTGTAATTTTTCCTATCATAAAACAGTGATATTATAATTTAAAAGACAATATATTACGTTTTATTATAAAACAGACATGTTTTTTGAAGTAAAAATATTAATTACCTT